CATCGTTTGCCATCGTTTGCCAGCGAATTCGGACAGCCACACACGAGCTGTTGCATCAGTGGCAATTGTTTGCCAGCGAATTCGGACAGGAGCACACGAACTGTAGCATCAACGGCATCGTTTGCCATTGTTTGCCAGCGAATTCGGACAGCAGCACACGAGCTGTAGCATCAAAGGCATCGTTTGCCATCGTTTGCCAGCGAATTCGGACAGCAGCACACGAGCTGTAGCATCAACGGCATCGTTTGCCATTGTTTGCCAGCGAATTCGGACACACACGAGCTGTTGCATCAGTGGCAATTGTTTGCCAGCGAATTCGGACAGCAGCACACGAACTGGCCAGCGAATTCGGACAGCAGCACACGAGCTGTAGCATCAAAGGCATCGTTTGCCATCGTTTGCCAGCGAATTCGGACAGCCACTCACGAACTGTAGCATCAACGGCATCGTTTGCCATTGTTTGCCAGCGAATTCGGACAGCAGCACACGAACTGTAGCATCAACGGCATCGTTTGCCATTGTTTGCCAGCGAATTCGGACAGCAGCACACGAACTGTAGCATCAACGGCATCGTTTGCCATTGTTTGCCAGCGAATTCGGACAGCAGCACACGAGCTGTAGCATCAACGGCATCGTTTGCCATCGTTTGCCAGCGAATTCGGACAGCCACTCACGAACTGTAGCATCAACGGCATCGTTTGCCATTGTTTGCCAGCGAATTCGGACAGCAGCACACGAACTGTAGCATCAACTGCATCGTTTGCCATTGTTTGCCAGCGAATTCGGACAGCAGCACACGAACTGTAGCATCAACGGCATCGTTTGCCATTGTTTGCCATCGAATTCGGACAGCAGCACACGAACTGTAGCATCAACGGCATCGTTTGCCATTTTGCCAGCGAATTCGGACAGCAGCACACGAGCTGTAGCATCAAAGGCATCGTTTGCCATCGTTTGCCAGCGAATTCGGACAGCCACTCACGAAATGTAGCATCATAGGCATCGTTTGCCATCGTTTGCCAGCGAATTCGGACAGCCACTCACGAAATGTAGCATCAAAGGCATCGTTTGCCATCGTGTTTGCCAGCGAATTCGGACAGCCACTCACGAAATGTAGCATCAAAGGCATCGTTTGCCATTGTTTGCCAGCGAATTCGGACAGCAGCACACGAACTTTAGCATCAACGGCATCGCTTGCCATTGTTTTCCAGCGAATTCGGACAGCCACTCACGAACTGTAGCATCAACGGCATCGTTTGCCATCGTTTGCCAGCGAATTCGGACAGCCACTCACGAAATGTAGCATCAAAGGCATCGTTTGCCATTGTTTGCCAGCGAATTCGGACAGCAGCACACGAACTTTAGCATCAACGGCATCGCTTGCCATTGTTTGCCAGCGAATTCGGACAGCCACTCACGAACTGTAGCATCAACGGCATCGTTTGCCATCGTTTGCCAGCGAATTCGGACAGCCACACACGAGCTGTTGCATCAGTGGCAATTGTTTGCCAGCGAATTCGGACAGCAGCACACGAGCTGTAGCATCAAAGGCATCGTTTGCCATCGTTTGCCAGCGAATTCGGACAGCCACTCACGAAATGTAGCATCAACGGCATCGTTTGCCATTGTTTGCCAGCGAATTCGGACAGCAGCACACGAGCTGTAGCATCAAAGGCATCGTTTGCCATCGTTTGCCAGCGAATTCGGACAGCCACTCACGAAATGTAGCATCATAGGCATCGTTTGCCATCGTGTTTGCCAGCGAATTCGGACAGCCACTCACGAAATGTAGCATCAAAGGCATCGTTTGCCATTGTTTGCCAGCGAATTCGGACAGCAGCACACGAACTTTAGCATCAACGGCATCGCTTGCCATTGTTTGCCAGCGAATTCGGACAGCCACTCACGAACTGTAGCATCAACGGCATCGTTTGCCATCGTTTGCCAGCGAATTCGGACAGCCACACACGAGCTGTTGCATCAGTGGCAATTGTTTGCCAGCGAATTCGGACAGGAGCACACGAACTGTAGCATCAACGGCATCGTTTGCCATCGTTTGCCAGCGAATTCGGACAGCCACTCACGAAATGTAGCATCAAAGGCATCGTTTGCCATTGTTTGCCAGCGAATTCGGACAGCAGCACACGAACTTTAGCATCAACGGCATCGCTTGCCATTGTTTGCCAGCGAATTCGGACAGCCACTCACGAACTGTAGCATCAACGGCATCGTTTGCCATCGTTTGCCAGCGAATTCGGACACACACAGCTGTTGCATCAGTGGCAATTGTTTGCCAGCGAATTCGGACAGCAGCACACGAACTGGCCAGCGAATTCGGACAGCAGCACACGAGCTGTAGCATCAAAGGCATCGTTTGCCATCGTTTGCCAGCGAATTCGGACAGCCACTCACGAACTGTAGCATCAACGGCATCGTTTGCCATTGTTTGCCAGCGAATTCGGACAGCAGCACACGAACTGTAGCATCAACGGCATCGTTTGCCATTGTTTGCCAGCGAATTCGGACAGCAGCACACGAACTGTAGCATCAACGGCATCGTTTGCCATTGTTTGCCAGCGAATTCGGACAGCAGCACACGAGCTGTAGCATCAACGGCATCGTTTGCCATCGTTTGCCAGCGAATTCGGACAGCCACTCACGAAATGTAGCATCATAGGCATCGTTTGCCATCGTGTTTGCCAGCGAATTCGGACAGCCACTCACGAAATGTAGCATCAAAGGCATCGTTTGCCATTGTTTGCCAGCGAATTCGGACAGCAGCACACGAACTTTAGCATCAACGGCATCGCTTGCCATTGTTTGCCAGCGAATTCGGACAGCCACTCACGAACTGTAGCATCAACGGCATCGTTTGCCATCGTTTGCCAGCGAATTCGGACAGCCACACACGAGCTGTTGCATCAGTGGCAATTGTTTGCCAGCGAATTCGGACAGGAGCACACGAACTGTAGCATCAACGGCATCGTTTGCCATTGTTTGCCAGCGAATTCGGACAGCAGCACACGAGCTGTAGCATCAAAGGCATCGTTTGCCATCGTTTGCCAGCGAATTCGGACAGCAGCACACGAGCTGTAGCATCAACGGCATCGTTTGCCATTGTTTGCCAGCGAATTCGGACACACACGAGCTGTTGCATCAGTGGCAATTGTTTGCCAGCGAATTCGGACAGCAGCACACGAACTGGCCAGCGAATTCGGACAGCAGCACACGAGCTGTAGCATCAAAGGCATCGTTTGCCATCGTTTGCCAGCGAATTCGGACAGCCACTCACGAACTGTAGCATCAACGGCATCGTTTGCCATTGTTTGCCAGCGAATTCGGACAGCAGCACACGAACTGTAGCATCAACGGCATCGTTTGCCATTGTTTGCCAGCGAATTCGGACAGCAGCACACGAACTGTAGCATCAACGGCATCGTTTGCCATTGTTTGCCAGCGAATTCGGACAGCAGCACACGAGCTGTAGCATCAACGGCATCGTTTGCCATCGTTTGCCAGCGAATTCGGACAGCCACTCACGAACTGTAGCATCAACGGCATCGTTTGCCATTGTTTGCCAGCGAATTCGGACAGCAGCACACGAACTGTAGCATCAACTGCATCGTTTGCCATTGTTTGCCAGCGAATTCGGACAGCAGCACACGAACTGTAGCATCAACGGCATCGTTTGCCATTGTTTGCCATCGAATTCGGACAGCAGCACACGAACTGTAGCATCAACGGCATCGTTTGCCATTTTGCCAGCGAATTCGGACAGCAGCACACGAGCTGTAGCATCAAAGGCATCGTTTGCCATCGTTTGCCAGCGAATTCGGACAGCCACTCACGAAATGTAGCATCATAGGCATCGTTTGCCATCGTTTGCCAGCGAATTCGGACAGCCACTCACGAAATGTAGCATCAAAGGCATCGTTTGCCATCGTGTTTGCCAGCGAATTCGGACAGCCACTCACGAAATGTAGCATCAAAGGCATCGTTTGCCATTGTTTGCCAGCGAATTCGGACAGCAGCACACGAACTTTAGCATCAACGGCATCGCTTGCCATTGTTTTCCAGCGAATTCGGACAGCCACTCACGAACTGTAGCATCAACGGCATCGTTTGCCATCGTTTGCCAGCGAATTCGGACAGCCACTCACGAAATGTAGCATCAAAGGCATCGTTTGCCATTGTTTGCCAGCGAATTCGGACAGCAGCACACGAACTTTAGCATCAACGGCATCGCTTGCCATTGTTTGCCAGCGAATTCGGACAGCCACTCACGAACTGTAGCATCAACGGCATCGTTTGCCATCGTTTGCCAGCGAATTCGGACAGCCACACACGAGCTGTTGCATCAGTGGCAATTGTTTGCCAGCGAATTCGGACAGGAGCACACGAACTGTAGCATCAACGGCATCGTTTGCCATTGTTTGCCAGCGAATTCGGACAGCAGCACACGAACTGGCCAGCGAATTCGGACAGCAGCACACGAGCTGTAGCATCAAAGGCATCGTTTGCCATCGTTTGCCAGCGAATTCGGACAGCCACTCACGAACTGTAGCATCAACGGCATCGTTTGCCATTGTTTGCCAGCGAATTCGGACAGCAGCACACGAGCTGTAGCATCAAAGGCATCGTTTGCCATCGTTTGCCAGCGAATTCGGACAGCCACTCACGAACTGTAGCATCAACGGCATCGTTTGCCATTGTTTGCCAGCGAATTCGGACAGCAGCACACGAACTGTAGCATTAACGGCATCGTTTGCCATTGTTTGCCAGCGAATTCGGACAGCAGCACACGAACTGTAGCATCAACGGCATCGTTTGACATTGTTTGCCAGCGAATTCGGACAGCAGCACACGAGCTGTAGCATCAACGGCATCGTTTGCCATCGTTTGCCAGCGAATTCGGACAGCCACTCACGAACTGTAGCATCAACGGCATCGTTTGCCATTGTTTGCCAGCGACTTCGGACAGCAGCACACGAACTGTAGCATCAACGGCATCGTTTGCCATTGTTTGCCAGCGAATTCGGACAGCAGCACACGAACTGTAGCATCAACGGTATCGTTTGCCATTGTTTGCCATCGAATTCGGACAGCAGCACACGAACTGTAGCATCAACGGCATCGTTCGCCATTTTGCCAGCGAATTCGGACAGCAGCACACGAGCTGTAGCATCAAAGGCATCGTTTGCCATCGTTTGCCAGCGAATTCGGACAGCCACTCACGAACTGTAGCATCAACGGCATCGTTTGCCATTGTTTGCCAGCGAATTCGGACAGCAGCACACGAGCTGTAGCATCAAAGGCATCGTTTGCCATCGTTTGCCAGCGAATTCGGACAGCCACTCACGAACCGTAGCATCAACGGCATCGTTTGCCATTGTTTGCCAGCGAATTCGGACAGCAGCACACGAACTGTAGCATCAACGGCATCGTTTGCCATTGTTTGCCAGCGAATTCGGACAGCAGCACACGAGCTGTAGCATCAAAGGCATCGTTTGCCATCGTTTGCCAGCGAATTCGGACAGCCACTCACGAACTGTAGCATCAACGGCATCGTTTGCCATTGTTTGCCAGCGAATTCGGACAGCAGCACACGAACTGTAGCATTAACGGCATCGTTTGCCATTGTTTGCCAGCGAATTCGGACAGCAGCACACGAACTGTAGCATCAACGGCATCGTTTGACATTGTTTGCCAGCGAATTCGGACAGCAGCACACGAGCTGTAGCATCAACGGCATCGTTTGCCATCGTTTGCCAGCGAATTCGGACAGCCACTCACGAACTGTAGCATCAACGGCATCGTTTGCCATTGTTTGCCAGCGACTTCGGACAGCAGCACACGAACTGTAGCATCAACGGCATCGTTTGCCATTGTTTGCCAGCGAATTCGGACAGCAGCACACGAACTGTAGCATCAACGGTATCGTTTGCCATTGTTTGCCATCGAATTCGGACAGCAGCACACGAACTGTAGCATCAACGGCATCGTTCGCCATTTTGCCAGCGAATTCGGACAGCAGCACACGAGCTGTAGCATCAAAGGCATCGTTTGCCATCGTTTGCCAGCGAATTCGGACAGCCACTCACGAACTGTAGCATCAACGGCATCGTTTGCCATTGTTTGCCAGCGAATTCGGACAGCAGCACACGAGCTGTAGCATCAAAGGCATCGTTTGCCATCGTTTGCCAGCGAATTCGGACAGCCACTCACGAACCGTAGCATCAACGGCATCGTTTGCCATTGTTTGCCAGCGAATTCGGACAGCAGCACACGAACTGTAGCATCAACGGCATCGTTTGCCATTGTTTGCCAGCGAATTCGGACAGCAGCACACGAGCTGTAGCATCAAAGGCATCGTTTGCCATCGTTTGCCAGCGAATTCGGACAGCCACTCACGAACTGCAGCATCAACGGCATCGTTTGCCATTGTTTGCCAGCGAATTCGGACAGCAGCACACGAGCTGTAGCATCAACGGCATCGTTTGCCATTGTTTGCCAGCGAATTCGGACAGCAGCACACGAGCTGTAGCATCAAAGGCATCGTTTGCCATCGTTTGCCAGCGAATTCGGACAGCCACTCACGAACTGTAGCATCAACGGCATCGTTTGCCATTGTTTGCCAGCGAATTCGGACAGCAGCACACGAGCTGTAGCATCAACGGCATCGTTTGCCATTGTTTGCCAGCGAATTCGGACAGCCACACACGAGCTGTTGCATCAGTGGCAATTGTTTGCCAGCGCGGACAGCTGCACACGAACTGTAGCATCAAAGGCATCGTTTGCCATCGTTTGCCAGCGAATTCGGACAGCCACTCACGAACTGTAGCATCAACGGCATCGTTTGCCATTGTTTGCCAGCGAATTCGGACAGCAGCACACGAACTGTAGCATCAACGGCATCGTTTGCCATTATTTGCCTGCGAATTCGGACAGCAGCACACGAGCTGTAGCATCAAAGGCATCGTTTGCCATCGTTTGCCAGCGATTTCGGACAGCCACTCACGAACTGTAGCATCAGCGGCATCGTTTGCCATTGTTTGCCAGCGAATTCGGACAGCAGCACACGAGCTGTAGCATCAAAGGCATCGTTTGCCATCGTTTGCCAGCGAATTCGGACAGCCACTCACGAACTGTAACATCAACGGCATCGTTTGCCATTGTTTGCCAGCGAATTCGGACAGCAGCACACGAGCTGTAGCATCAAAGGCATCGTTTGCCATCGTTTGCCAGCGAATTCGCACCGCTACACGCGAGCTGTAGCATCAAAGGCATCGTTTGCCATCGTTTGCCAGCGAATTCGGAAAGCCACTCACGAACTGTAGCATCAACGGCATCGTTTGCCATTGTTTGCCAGCGAATTCGGACAGCCACACACGAGCTGTTGCATCAGTGGCAATTGTTTGCCAGCGAATTCGGACAGCAGCACACGAGCTGTAGCATCAAAGGCATCGTTTGCCATCGTTTGCCAGCGATTTCGGACAGCCACTCACGAACTGTAGCATCAGCGGCATCGTTTGCCATTGTTTGCCAGCGAATTCGGACAGCAGCACACGAGCTGTAGCATCAAAGGCATCGTTTGCCATCGTTTGCCAGCGAATTCGGACAGCCACTCACGAACTGTAACATCAACGGCATCGTTTGCCATTGTTTGCCAGCGAATTCGGACAGCAGCACACGAGCTGTAGCATCAAAGGCATCGTTTGCCATCGTTTGCCAGCGAATTCGCACCGCTACACGCGAGCTGTAGCATCAAAGGCATCGTTTGCCATCGTTTGCCAGCGAATTCGGAAAGCCACTCACGAACTGTAGCATCAACGGCATCGTTTGCCATTGTTTGCCAGCGAATTCGGACAGCCACACACGAGCTGTTGCATCAGTGGCAATTGTTTGCCAGCGAATTCGGACAGCAGCACACGAACTGGCCAGCGAATTCGGACAGCAGCACACGAGCTGTAGCATCAACGGCATCGTTTGCCATTATTTGCCTGCGAATTCGGACAGCAGCACACGAGCTGTAGCATCAAAGGCATCGTTTGCCATCGTTTGCCAGCGAATTCGGACAGCCACTCACGAACTGTAGCATCAGCGGCATCGTTTGCCATTGTTTGCCAGCGAATTCGGACAGCAGCACACGAGCTGTAGCATCAAAGGCATCGTTTGCCATCGTTTGCCAGCGAAATCGGACAGCCACTCACGAACTGTAACATCAACGGCATCGTTTGCCATTGTTTGCCAGCGAATTCGGACAGCAGCACACGAGCTGTAGCATCAAAGGCATCGTTTGCCATCGTTTGCCAGCGAATTCGCACCGCTACACGCGAGCTGTAGCATCAAAGGCATCGTTTGCCATCGTTTGCCAGCGAAATCGGACAGCCACTCACGAACTGTAACATCAACGGCATCGTTTGCCATTGTTTGCCAGCGAATTCGGACAGCAGCACACGAACTGTAGCATCAAAGGCATCGTTTGCCATCGTTTGCCAGCGAATTCGCACCGCTACACGCGAGCTGTAGCATCAAAGGCATCGTTTGCCATCGTTTGCCAGCGAATTCGGACAGCCACTCACGAACTGTAGCATCAACGCCATCGTTTGCCATTGTTTGCCAGCGAATTCGGACAGCAGCACACGAACTGTAGCATCAACGGCATCGTTTGCCATTATTTGCCTGCGAATTCGGACAGCAGCACACGAGCTGTAGCATCAAAGGCATCGTTTGCCATCGTTTGCCAGCGAATTCGGACAGCCACTCACGAACTGTAGCATCAGCGGCATCGTTTGCCATTGTTTGCCAGCGAATTCGGACAGCAGCACACGAGCTGTAGCATCAAAGGCATCGTTTGCCATCGTTTGCCAGCGAAATCGGACAGCCACTCACGAACTGTAACATCAACGGCATCGTTTGCCATTGTTTGCCAGCGAATTCGGACAGCAGCACACGAGCTGTAGCATCAAAGGCATCGTTTGCCATCGTTTGCCAGCGAATTCGCACCGCTACACGCGAGCTGTAGCATCAAAGGCATCGTTTGCCATCGTTTGCCAGCGAATTCGGAAAGCCACTCACGAACTGTAGCATCAACGGCATCGTTTGCCATTGTTTGCCAGCGAATTCGGACACACACGAGCTGTTGCATCAGTGGCAATTGTTTGCCAGCGAATTCGGACAGGAGCACACGAACTGTAGCATCAACGGCATCGTTTGCCATTGTTTGCCAGCGAATTCGGACAGCAGCACACGAGCTGTAGCATCAAAGGCATCGTTTGCCATCGTTTGCCAGCGAATTCGGACACCAGCACACGAGCTGTAGCATCAACGGCATCGTTTGCCATTGTTTGCCAGCGAATTCGGACACACACGAGCTGTTGCATCAGTGGCAATTGTTTGCCAGCGAATTCGGACAGCAGCACACGAACTGGCCAGCGAATTCGGACAGCAGCACACGAGCTGTAGCATCAAAGGCATCGTTTGCCATCGTTTGCCAGCGAATTCGGACAGCCACTCACGAACTGTAGCATCAACGGCATCGTTTGCCATTGTTTGCCAGCGAATTCGGACAGCAGCACACGAGCTGTAGCATCAAAGGCATCGTTTGCCATCGTTTGCCAGCGAATTCGGACAGCCACTCACGAACTGTAGCATCAACGGCATCGTTTGCCATTGTTTGCCAGCGAATTCGGACAGCAGCACACGAACTGTAGCATCAACGGCATCGTTTGCCATTGTTTGCCAGCGAATTCGGACAGCAGCACACGAGCTGTAGCATCAACGGCATCGTTTGCCATCGTTTGCCAGCGAATTCGGACAGCCACTCACGAACTGTAGCATCAACGGCATCGTTTGCCATTGTTTGCCAGCGAATTCGGACAGCCACTCACGAACTGTAGCATCAACGGCATCGTTTGCCATTGTTTGCCAGCGAATTCGGACAGCAGCACACGAGCTGTAGCATCAAAGGCATCGTTTGCCATCGTTTGCCAGCGAATTCGGACAGCCACTCACGAACTGTAGCATCAACGGCATCGTTTGCCATTGTTTGCCAGCGAATTCGGACAGCAGCACACGAACTGTAGCATCAACGGCATCGTTTGCCATTGTTTGCCAGCGAATTCGGACAGCAGCACACGAACTGTAGCATCAACGGCATCGTTTGCCATTGTTTGCCAGCGAATTCGGACAGCAGCACACGAGCTGTAGCATCAACGGCATCGTTTGCCATCGTTTGCCAGCGAATTCGGACAGCCACTCACGAACTGTAGCATCAACGGCATCGTTTGCCATTGTTTGCCAGCGAATTCGGACAGCAGCACACGAACTGTAGCATCAACGGCATCGTTTGCCATTGTTTGCCAGCGAATTCGGACAGCAGCACACGAACTGTAGCATCAACGGCATCGTTTGCCATTGTTTGCCAGCGAATTCGGACAGCAGCACACGAGCTGTAGCATCAAAGGCATCGTTTGCCATCGTTTGCCAGCGAATTCGGACAGCCACTCACGAACTGTAGCATCAACGGCATCGTTTGCCATTGTTTGCCAGCGAATTCGGACAGCAGCACACGAGCTGTAGCATCAAAGGCATCGTTTGCCATCGTTTGCCAGCGAATTCGGACAGCCACTCACGAACTGTAGCATCAACGGCATCGTTTGCCATTGTTTGCCAGCGAATTCGGACAGCAGCACACGAACTGTAGCATCAACGGCATCGTTTGCCATTGTTTGCCAGCGAATTCGGACAGCAGCACACGAGCTGTAGCATCAACGGCATCGTTTGCCATCGTTTGCCAGCGAATTCGGACAGCCACTCACGAACTGTAGCATCAACGGCATCGTTTGCCATTGTTTGCCAGCGAATTCGGACAGCCACTCACGAACTGTAGCATCAACGGCATCGTTTGCCATTGTTTGCCAGCGAATTCGGACAGCAGCACACGAGCTGTAGCATCAAAGGCATCGTTTGCCATCGTTTGCCAGCGAATTCGGACAGCCACTCACGAACTGTAGCATCAACGGCATCGTTTGCCATTGTTTGCCAGCGAATTCGGACAGCAGCACACGAACTGTAGCATCAACGGCATCGTTTGCCATTGTTTGCCAGCGAATTCGGACAGCAGCACACGAACTGTAGCATCAACGGCATCGTTTGCCATTGTTTGCCAGCGAATTCGGACAGCAGCACACGAGCTGTGGCATCAACGGCATCGTTTGCCATCGTTTGCCAGCGAATTCGGACAGCCACTCACGAACTGTAGCATCAACGGCATCGTTTGCCATTGTTTGCCAGCGAATTCGGACAGCAGCACACGAACTGTAGCATCAACGGCATCGTTTGCCATTGTTTGCCAGCGAATTCGGACAGCAGCACACGAGCTGTAGCATCAACGGCATCGTTTGCCATCGTTTGCCAGCGAATTCGGACAGCCACTCACGAACTGTAGCATCAACGGCATCGTTTGCCATTGTTTGCCAGCGAATTCGGACAGCAGCACACGA